ATCACCTAAAATTATTTTGATTATTTCGACTATTGATACTTAAAATAGTTAAAGAATTCTAAAATTTCAAGCCCTAATATCGGATGCCTCATCTAAAATCTAATAGTGAAGCTCTCCCCCAATTTACAGATTAGCCTGTGATCACCTAAAATTATTTTGATTATTTCGACTATTGATACTTAAAATAGTTAAAGAATTCTAAAATTTCAAGCCCTAACATCGGATGCCTCATCTAAAATCTATTAGTGAAGCTCTCTCCCAATTTACAGAATAGCCTGTGATCACCTAAAATTATTTTGATTATTTCGGCTATTGATATAAAAATTTCAAGCCCCAATATCAGATGTTTCATCCAAAATCTAAGGCCAGTGTTTCGGGCGAAACCATTTTTCAAATTTTTAAAAAAAATAACCATCTTTCTTTTCAAGTCATATAACTTGAATAAATACTTCCAAGACTGTCAGACTGAACTATATGTCAAAATAAATACTTTCTTCACAACGGGTTTTTTTTAGTTTTATTTTTTTAAAGGATATGTCTGTAACAAATATTTTATATAAATTTATAGTATAAGCACCAAATTATGAATGTATAATGAATATAATTAATTACCTGAGTCTTCAATGATTCAAAATACATAGAATGTCGCACATGTTCGGCAATTCATGTATTTTTTAGATAAAATATATTTTTTTGATTTAAAAATTTTATCGCTTTCAAAATTTTGTAAGAGTTTCGAATCTGAAAGGAATAATAAATTATATTTTGTTCATCAGGTATGAGGGAGTCTATCGAATCTGAAAGGATTTTGCCGCTTTTAAATACTTGTGGAAAGTCGATGTGGTGTGAAATACATCGTGTATTTCTACATTTTTTACCATTTTCGCGAAAAAATACTATTGATGATCTTTTATTTTCAATCAATACTTACTATATTTTTACATTATTTACCATTTTCGCTATTGATCATTATTACTACATTTCGTTATCGTGATCGGGTAATTTTTTTTATATTTTTTACCATATTTATTAAATTTCATATCGATATCGCGTATTTTTACTTGTTTTACCATTTTCGCTAAAAAATAATCAATACTCGTATCGATACTTGTAACGTGTGACAACACATATTTAGGGAATAAAACCATTCAGTTTAAAATTTGATCACGTTACATTGATCTTCCTTTTTTAGTTTTTTTTTAAAAAAAATGCAAAATACCGATAATTCGAACGAGTGGACTAGTTGGATTGAAGGCGCCATTTCTATAAAACAGATTGAATATTACGAATACGACCATTTTAGTCATTTTCAAGAAATTGGTTCCGGAGGTTTCGGAAAAGTCTATCGTGCAAATTGGAAAGATTCTCACAAGGTTTTGGCATTGAAATCTTTTTATAACCTTAATAGCATTACGGCTAAAGAAGTCGTTCAGGAGGTAACAATAATATAATGCGTCTTTAGCCTTCTCGAATCTTACATTTTTTTTTTATTGAAAATCTGAATATGTTCTAGATTAAGCTTCGACATAAAATTGATTTTCTTGATAATGTCATTCGTCTGCATGGAATTACGACTTTCGATCAAGGTATGATAAATGTTTGTTTACAAATCATATTTCTCTATAGAATTAAATTTAGCATAATCAGCTAAACAGCCTTTTTTTTAAAAAAAAATTAGACAATCAACATGATCAATCGAGACAATATTTATTAATAATGGAGTATGCTGACGGAGGCACGCTTCGAAACTATTTGAAGAAAAGTTTTAACAGGCTTACTTGGAAAGATAAATATAACATGGCTTACCAGCTGGCTCATGCTGTATCATATTTACATGGCGAGAACGTTGTGCATCGTGATTTGGTAATATATATTTGTGATTTATTTTTATTAAAAATATTGATGTTAAATATTAAATTTTGTATATATCAAATCTTTTATGTATGTTAGCACTCCAACAATATACTAGTACATCAAAATAACATTAAATTAGCTGATTTTGGATTGTCGAAAAGAATTGAAACTGCGTCATCTAGACAATCAATATTATCTGATATGATTCCATATATAGATCCAAAGGTGTTTAATAGACGACAAAACAATGAACATCCATATGAGCTAAACGAAAAGAGTGATGTTTACAGTATTGGTATGCTTATGTGGGAAATATCAAGTGGACACACTCCTTTTTATGCTAAAGATAATTTTGGGTTGATTTATGATATTTTACAAGGCCTTAGAGAATCACCGGCTCCTGAAACTCCTGATGATTATGCTAAGCTTTATATTGGTAAGTATATGATTGTACATTTATGATTTATTTGAAATATTACAAATATTTAATATATATGTATTCTTTAGAATGTTGGGATGATGAGCCAAATAATCGACCGACCATGAATCAAGTAGTTGCAAAATTAGGGATATTTGTGGCCAAAACAAACGAAGTAAAAAAAAATGGTAAATCAAGTACTCAAAAAATTGATCAGATTATTACGAGGTTGATAGAATCTAAAACTTCACCAAATAGCGAACAAATCATTTTGTCTGAAAAAAATTCGAGAATAATTATTGAAGAATTAGTTAACCTTATTTTTAAGGAAAAAAATAAAGGAATTGATACAAAAATACGAAATCAAAGTATTTTTGATTATCTTAACAATCACAACGTAACATTACAAGGATTAATTAAATGGTTATTGAACGATCAAAACAATTCCAATTCCGCCTTTTTACTTGGATATTTTAATTATTCTGGAATGGGAACAAGTAAAAACATTGAAAAAGCATTTAGTTTACTCTTTAATGCTTCAAAGAAAGATCATATATTGGCACAATGTTACGTTGGTACGTGTTATCAGTATGGATATGGTATCACAAAAGATGAAACGTTGGCTTTTAAATATTATAAGAGCGTGGCCGATAGAAATTTTGCGGCAGGACAATTACAAATTGGGTATTTTTATGAAAGTGGTATGGGTGTTAAAAAAGATTTAAAAATGGCTTTTCATTGGTATGAAAAGGCCGCGAATAATGGAAACTTAATTGCTTTATGTAACCTTGGTCTCTGTTATAAAAATGGATGTGGCGTTAAGATAAATAATTCCAAAGCCTTTGAGTTATTTAAAAGATCAGCTAAAAAAGAGTATTCGGATGGAATATCAATGTTAGGACGTTGTTATAATAATGGAATTGGAACTAAGGTTGATAAGAAAATGGCTTTTGAGTTATATGAAAAAGCAGCAAATTTGGAAAATGTGATCGCCCAGTATAACCTTGGAATTTTATATGAAAATGGAATAGGAGTTGAGAAAGATATAGACCAAGCCATTTATTGGTATGAAAAATCCGCTGAACAAGGACATAAAAATGCTCAAATTAAACTAGAAAAACTTGTAAGATCATGAATGAATAGATAAATTAGTTTTAATTTTTAAATGTTTTAAATTAATAATTATATAAGGTAAAATTAGAAATTTAATATAATGTTAATTTTAGATAATATTCTTGCATTTAATCTATTAGGTGGTTGTTTAAGAGAATTAGATGTATTGTGTTTATCTGTTTCGTTTTCATCTAGTTTGGATGATTAAAATAAATAAAAGTAAAATATTCAAGTTTTAAAAAATGCAAATTTTATTAATTAAATAAATTTTCTTAACGTGAAGCTTCTAAATTAGTTGGCAACTTTTTCCTTTATTATACAACGCATCATCTGTTCAATTGATGCCTTAATAAATGCTGATGAAGATGTAGATGTCGTTAAACACGTATGATGGATTTCAGTTTCTTAAAAAATAATGTGTAAAACGCTAATCATTATTCATAAGAATTTTTTTAAAAAATTCCACAGTATATGTGACAAGTTTCGAAACTAGCATATCCAAAAGTCCAATGTCGAATTTCGTATTCGAAAATATCATTTTCTGACGTATTAAAAGGTAAATTGTCATATTAAGTCACCAATGCACGAATTTGATTCTATCACGCAGTATTGACTAAAAAAATTTAACGGAATGCGACAATTTTCAGTTTCAGACAAATGATAAAGTTATGAACCCCTTTTAGACAATTATGATGATATCTTGATTTAGGAGTATACAATTTGAAAATAGGAGATTGTAATATTCGTTTGCAAATAAATAAAAATTAAATGTTTCGAAATTACAATATTGTATTTAAAAATCTTTCATCAATCAAAAAACCTTTTTTAAAATAATAATCAAATTTTTTTTTTGAATTTTTTTTAAACGAACATTTTTATTTAGAAAAAAAAAGCTCATTATCGCGAAATTATCGGTTGAACTTTTTTTTTAAAAAAAAAATTCGAAACCCCCGTGTTGTCATGGGACGCGGACATGGACATGGACCGATATTATCTTTTGGCCAGAATTAACAAGAGATATGGCCAGCATTAATGCGGACAAAAAGTCCCGGACATGGACTTTCGGACGTCCCGTGTCCGCCAAAAATCACCGAGACAACGTCCGTGTACAACCCCCATTTCAATATTTCGAATCGAGTGGAAGATTATGGATAGATTGATTAAATTGGAAATATTATTATAATTTCTCATCCCCTATCTCTTTATCAATACTTATTGCTTGTTATGTTTCCTGTGATCTGTTGGTAATAAATGGTATTCAATGGGAACTTTGAATTCCCACTTATTAATCATAATAGATATTTTGCTGAACTTATGCAACCTACAATAAGCAGCACATGAAGAGCTCATTAAAGCAGGAGTCCAGAATCGTTATTCGAATTGATGAATAATGCTATTTATTAGCTTGGGTTGCATTATTGTCCCAAGATTAATGTTATTAATTCCAACCGCTCTAACAAAAGCTCCTGAAAGCAGCCGAAAATGCTTGAATATCGGCTTGATTATTGACATTTCGTCAGGGAATAATAAAATCAAGATCAGTTCAGGATGAATTTTAGGCAGTAGAACTAACAGATATGATACTCACTATAATACTCAGCAGTTCTTCTTTCTAACTGGTCTTGACGAGAAACGCGAAAAAATCGGATGGGCAATATCGCCCCAAATTTGCTGCAGTCTCGCAAAAACGCTCGTAATTAATTATTCAAGTATCGTCAAACACTGTAGAATGTTCGCCAGAGTACTAATATATATCGGGTATTGTCAAAAATAACTGATTTAGTAATGGAATATTTCAGGAGTATAGGTCGAAATCACTCATAGAAGGCACTAATTGTAAACTCATGATTTGTGAAGTGTCAAAGATTGACCGTTTTATTTAGGAATCAATGGATAATAATGATATTAAAATAGAAAGGAAACAGAAGGAGCTGAATTTATGAATTTCTAAATCTATTGCTGCATCAACTTACGCTCTACAATAGTCTTTTTATGAAAGCGTTTTTGTTTAATATTTAGAGAATTTTTGAGTCTCAATTATCATTCCGATCAATTATATTGTAAATTTAATGATTTGTAATTCAAATACAAATTTGACGATTTATTTAAATTGTTTTTATGATAAGGTATTAGGAAATGGTAATACAAAAATATATTGTTTATGCACTTGAAGTAAGTTATACAAAATTGATGACTCCATTTTTGGCTGTTTCGGTTTTATGACATTTTTACCATTATTCTTCGAATATGTAAGTGGTTGTACTGCAATAAGTTTGACATTGAATCATCAGATGATGAATGTATGGTTAGAGAACTTTAGTCAAGAAAAAAAAAGATTGCTAACGCTTCGGAATACTGTATCTTTTTGATTTGATTTGATTTGATTTTCGTTTTATATAATATTCACTCATTAGATAGAATATTATAATTAATTATTTTAATTATTGAAAATGAATAATTAAAAAAAAAATCCATTCGTAAAGGAACAATTGTCTATTCTTTCTCCCTGTTCATATAAATATGCAAGACATTTAGTGCATCACAACTTCCTTCCTTAACTGATATCTTGAACATTTCAAATGTATCAATTACGTTTCCATTATCATAAAACTATCCAACTTTGTATTGAGCTCCTGATCATCTGATTTCTCTATTGCTCTAACTAAATTCTTACACGCCTTTACCTAATTCTTAAACTTCACCTAATTTATATTATGCCAATTTATTGTCATTTTCCGCAGTCCACTATACTCGCAAAAGTAACTCACTTTTGAAATAATTTAACTTAATATTTTATTTATTTATAAATAAACTGAATTATTATTAAACAAAAAAAATTAGTCACATGACAAAGACAATGGACGATTGACATACCAAAAAAGGAAACCCGTCGAGAATATAATTTGTTCGTTCGATATCAACGTTTCGTATCGTTTCCGTTGAATCGAAAAGAATATTCCACTTACCACCCACTTTAAGCGGAGGAATATTATTTAGAATATTCTTTATTGTTTATCTAACAATTTAATCACAAAATTAATAATACTAAATAAATTCTTCAATTAATAAATAGCTTCGATAAATGACTAATTATTTCAAAAATTTTATTACATGTGAATCAATAAATTTTATAATCATTTCGAGACAACTAATCATCAATCAATGCTAAAAACCAATTCAGTTATTTTCGTTAAATAAATAGGAGGTAACATTAACAATTTTTTTTAATTTTTGAAATGCTATAAAAATAAATAGAAAATTTTTTTGACTTCCCTTTTACTTATTCATAATTTTATCATAATTTATTGTGTTTTATTATATAATTGTGATCAATCATTACAACAACAACAACAGCAACAGCAATAGCAAAAGACGACAACAGCAGAAACAACAGCAGTACCACCACCACCCGGACCATCACATCAGTAATATCACTACCACCATAATACCACCACTACCCACAACAATTGAAATACCTACTCCACTCTTCTAATCCCAACTATATAAATCCAGCTCCTAACTATCGTACGGCTACCATAGATATGATCAGATTAAATTTCGTAAAATTAATCAAATTAATAAAATGATAAAATTACCTGTAAATAGACAAATTCATGCAAGCATTCAGAGGAGGATGAATGATATGAAGCCAATTTAATGAATCAATATACATATTTTTAGTGTTATTGTTACGATGATACAACATTTTTTTTTATTACTAATATTTTTATTTATTTAATTAATAATCCGGACGTAATGCTTTCTTAATGTGTTTAGTGATCAATCGGCCAAATTTGCTACTGGTCAAAATGTCCTCTAGTCAATTTGTCCTCTGGACAAATTGTCCTTTTGAATTGAAGCATATTAGAATTATATTTTTGTGAAAATCAACACAAGTTAAAAATTTAACAAATGTAAACTATAGCAAAAATAAATGAATGAATGAACCGATTCACACATTATATAATTCATGATTGTCTCACGAACGAGTTAGACATTATCAAGGTTAACGCAACAGCCCAGTAACACCAACAAAAATTTCGCGATCACGTGAAAATATAAATAGTACTGTAAATAATTGCATGACACGTGATCGCTGGATATTACGAATTTCTTACGACATATTTATATTGTCAAATCAAGGAACCTTCTTAGCATAAATATTGTTATAGATTCAATGACAAGCTCAATCTATTCCAAGATGTTTAATAACAAAAATATCTTTTTTAATTAATAAAAAAAACTTACAGACTAAATACCCGGGCAAGACGTGACATTATCCCGAACAATTTAAAATTTTTGTGAATTGTACTCGTAATGCTCAGGGAACTTAAGTAAACCATTTACAGTAATTTATAGAATGATAGAATCTTTTATTTTTCTCGGAAATTAACTGGATCTCTAAAATTAGAAAACTAAATCTTTTTGAAGTTGAAATACTAAAATTACATAATTTTTTTTTTCCTTTTTTAAAAATAGAAAAATCAAAATTTCTACGTTCCAAAAAGATGATCTCTATAATTAAAAAAGGAAATAAAGATTTTGTCGATTTTAAATGAAATTTCCTTATTTAGATTAACCAATTTCGATGTTATTATAGGAGCAATAGCCTTCGCCTCTAAATCATCGCCACAATTATTAATTAAAAAATGAAAAAAAAATCTATTATTGGAAATTACTCGAGGTATGATTAAAGGTGAATTCACGTTATTTCCTTTCAAAAAAACTTATATAAACCCAACTTTCTTTCTTCAGCGTTTTTCTTTCAATACTATTCCTGAAAACAAAAAAGAAATCCTAAAAAATGAAAATAAAATCACCTTTATTAGTTCTTAGCTTCATTTCTACAGCAGCTTTAGCTGCTCCCAGCGGGGATTATAAATACAGTCCGTATTATAATCCTAACGTTAAATCATATGACCCTTATTACAATCCAAATGTTCCCGATAGTTATTACAAATATGATCACGAAAAAAAATATAAACCAGAAAATTACGATAAGAAAAAGGGGGATCATGGAAAATACAAAAGGTCCGACGACCATTACGATTACGAGTATCATGATGATCATGATGATTACTACAAGGAGAAACACGACGACAAGGAAAAGCAATACAAAAGATCCCCTGCCCCAGATAATTACGATAACAAGAAAAAGGGAGATCATGGAAAATACAAAAGATCCGACGACCATTACGATTACGAGTATCATGATGATCATGATGATTACTACAAGAAGGAACACAAGGAAGAAAAATATTAAATTAACAAATTCCATATTAGAAGGATATTTTTTCGATTGAAAATTTTTATATTTTTATTTTTATATAAAATTTGGAGAGAAATTTTTTAATGACAATAAATATTGATTGATTTTGATTTCATTTTAAATTTTGATATTGTCGCTATGATTTTTTACTGCAATGAAACCTTAATTGTGCCGTTATAAGTTATAAAATACGCTGAATCTATCTTCTAATATTTGCTTATGCCTAAATAACGTCGTCATTTTCTCTATAGCGTCTGGTAATTCGCATAAATTATAACTCGGGAGTTAAATCTTTACCGGGCCTCAAACAAATATTTTATTTAAGATTCGAATACAATTGAACAATGACCGTCTATTGGTATGAGAAAGTTGCAAGTTCGTGTAATGTCATAATCTAGAACTTTTATATAAAGGTTGAGAATGTGACGAATTCGATAATGATAAAGCTTTTGAATTATTATTTAACAGATCGATTAGAAAAGAATACTTGGACGGAATAACGATATTATGGTATTGCTATCATAATGTAATGGGATTGGAACTACAAATCAGAAAAGCATTGGAATTGGAATTATTTCAAAGGGCTGCAAACTTGGAAAAATAAAGAGTTTAACTCTATCTTTCCCAATGTTTGAACATAGTTTATTGAATGATGATCAAGGATTTTCAAATGCTCAATATAAACTTGCACTTTTGTATAGAAAAAGGGCGGTGAAATTGAAATTGATAAAGCAATTTATTGGTTTGAAAAGTATGCAGAACAAGGATCAAAACATTTAAAACGAGCTTGCTTTTAAAGTATGATAAAGCGATTTATTGGTAAATACTGTAAATTGTGAACTTTCATGACCAAAACTAATACATATATCAATACCATTCATTTTAAATTAGATATTGCAATTCAAAAAGTATGTTTATCGGATTTGCAAAAAAAAGATCATTATATAATGTACTAGACTTTGGTAGACATGTTTTCTTGATAGAAATTCAAATTGTATATAGCAAATTGAAAATTCGTATTGGAATTTCCTTAGAAGGTTACGAAATGTGACGATCATTTTTATTTCATATCAGGATTTATCATCAAAAAAATTTTTTTTACATATTGCTTAAATATTCGGATTTTTTTTATATATATGAAATTTACATGTAAAAATTCACAATTTTATGTACATACAAAAGATTTTTTTGTACTTATTAATTGACAGACAAATAAATTTTATTATATTAAAATATAAAATATAAAGTAATTATACAAAAAATATTATCATAAAAAATTAATATTTAGTATGCACCTTTGGTCTTAATTACCGCTTTAACCCGATTAGGCATACTTAAAATTAGGCGATCAATAGTGATTTTTCGCCACTCATCTTGTACTACCTCATAGAGGTTGGAACCGGTTTGGTGTAAATCGATTTAAATTCGGTTTAAACCGGTTGCAACATAAAACCGGGTCAGATTCGAAAACCGGTTTTAATAAAATCGGTTTATTGCGAAAATTCGAATTTAATGAAACCGATTGAACCGGTTT